GCACGCACGCACGCACGCACGCACGCACGCACGCACGCACGCACGCACATACACACACAGACTACCTACAGGTAATATGATGTCACGTGGGCGCGTGCTCTATAGGTGAGGTAATGGCACATCACCCACGCTTCACAGGTCAGATAGTGTCACATAACCCACTACCAACAAGCAATGTGCCATCGCACACCGATGTTCTCTACATCTAATGTGCCTTCACACCCCATTGTAATTTGGTGTCACACACTGTATCCCTTACAGGTGTGGAAGTATCATGGCAACCCCCCCCCCCCATCCTCTCCCACTGGTCTTCCTCGTGCCGTGGGAGCTCGCCTCGTTCCTACGTGTCAGGGAGATCCCAACACCCACTCCCTCTCTCCCCTTATTCTCTAAATCTTTTCCTCCTCTTCCTCCTTTTCCGCTTCCTCTTCTCCCCTTCTCCTTTTCCTTCTCATTTTCCCCCTCTTTTACGATCTGCTTTTCCTCCTCCTCCCCCCTCCTCCTCCTCCCCTCCTCTTCCTCCTCTTATTATTATTATTATACCTCCTCCGCAATATCTTTCTCTTCTTCATCTTCCTTCTCCTCCTCCTCCGTTTCCTCCTGATCCACCTCATCCACCTCATCCGGTCTAATATTAGATAGGCGCTGATAGCCGCGCCGTGCTAGCATTCGTGCACGTGTTTCGCGAGCTGCGCAGACTAGAGGCTCGCTCGCCACCGCTTGGACGCCAGCACGCTGTGCGTAATCGCCGAGTCCGGAAGCTTAGCGCGATATATACCGCCACTCGGCGCTGTTGGCTTGAATTACGCACTCGCGCGCGCGCACGTCGTACACATATATATACGCATAGCTGCGCACGTGCGCGCCCATACATAAACATTCTCGGTAACGGCGTATCCGTCTTTTTGTGCGCGCAGACGAACGAAATTCGCGCAGATTTTAGCGCGACACAGCGTGTGCGGCGGCGGATTGTTGTGATGACGTCGTTCGCAAACGACTGACTCGACGCCTCGGCCAGTAAGTGAGCAACGCGCGGGCTGTTGTGCGCGCCGTATGACGTTTTGCTGCGTCGAGCAGTGTGCAGTCGTCTGCCGCGTCGCTGCGTACAAGGGTCGCACGCGCACGCAGGTTCAGTGCGCGAGTGCGTGCCCGCTGGTGTTGATGCAGTCGGCGTTGAAACAACGACACGCGACACCGACCGTCGGCATCGTAGCGAGCGTGCTGGCGTCGGCATCGTAGACGGAGAGTGCGTCTGTGCCGTACTGCCTCTGACCGTAGCTGCAGCCACCGTGATCTGTGAGCGGGGAATCGTAGAGTAGTGGCGGCGGGAGCAGGATTCTGCAGAGCAACGCGACTGAGCAACGCGCGCACACAAGGCGACGAGTGTCTCACGTCCGGTGCAGCATCGCCTAGTGTCTCGAGTTGGTGCACACGGCGCCACTTAGTCTAGCGTTGCACGTAAGTAGAGCCAAGTACCACGACGAATAGTGAGGCAGCTAGCTGTTTTAAATCGTCCCTAGAGGCGAACAGGTGTATGAAACCGCGCCCTGGAGACAGCCAAGTGTCTTACCACGCGCGTCAACAGATAAACTGTCTCAGGTCGTGCGCCCAAAGGTAGGCCCGTGTCTCACCCCGCGTATAGGGGCGGCCAAGCGCCTCAAACCGTGCAGTGAGACGGTACTGCCAAGTGTCTCAACTCGTGTCTAGAGGTGACCACGTGCCCCTAAACGGTGCGGTGAAACAGTGCTATACTGAGTGGCTCAGGTGTCATTGACACTGACAGTGACAGTGTGACAGTGTCACTCTCACACTCAGTCACTCACTGATAGTGTCACTGTCAGTACTGCTACTGAGTACCGGGTACTGTAGTACTGTAGACCGAATAATTCTGTCCCATATAACCTTTTTTATATTTTGGTGAGGGTTATTGCCAATATTGGGACAGAACGGGGTTCATTAAAATTTCGTGAGATCGCATGCAAAATGCATGCGCTGCGAATGCGGTCCGTACGCCGCTATTTGCGCGGAAAAAAAACTACCGTTCCCCTAGCTTCTACATGGTTTTACCTTGCTACTGATATGTGTATACATTCACTTCTTAAAAGATTGTTTTTCAGAAACCCGCTTCATTCCACTTTCGTATATCACATTCACCATTTACAAATAATCAGACCAATCAGAGCGAGTCTATCAGCCCTCCTGCAGCGCCACAGATACAAGCGAGAACCAGGCTATTGTAAGACTCGCTCTGATTGGTCTGTTTGTTTGAAACTACATTGTGCATATACCAGCTTTTGTTACATAGTAAAACCAGTGGTTAGAAACCTCATTGCTCATGCTAATGCTGCTGTAACTGCTAGTATAGTCATCTTTCACGTTCATGGTAGAGACACAGGGTTCTTCCCAGGAATTTCAGAAGGCCTGTTGGGCAATCGGGCAATTCATCCCCGATTGCTAATTGGGATCAATTACGCTTGTCATAGGCAGCTACAATTTATAGGTAAACTCGATCAGTTGGAAGACGTATAAACCAAGCTGTGAAGGCAGTTAGGCAGGACTGTGTTGGGATTGTCAAAAGTAAACACATCTGGAAATTATGGCATGTCGAAGCATTTATGGTTTAATCTAGCTTCAACTTCGAAGGCATGTCAGACTCGACATGCATTCAAGGCCTTGGGAGAACCCTGAAACATGTATGTTCATGCTGGCATGTATAGCATTGTATCAATGACACAATGCTTTGCTATTTAATTTTTAGATAGTGTTTACACAATAATTTCTAGATGGGGCAAATTTAAGTTCTGTTAATACGCATTCATTCTAGGCTTCTATTTTAATCAAGCATAAATGAGGTTATAGTTTCCATGTCAATGCCAGGTAGCAGGGTTTCTTCTGAGAGAAAATTAGACAAAGGAGGTAATGGCCAGTTTGGGAAAAACGCACGTGATGGATTCAAAGGCGTGCCCTAGGCATGCATGCGGACGCTGCAGACGGACTTGGGGGCGAGAGGTAGAGAGGGAACTCCCCTTCTCACTTGAGGGGTTCTGGGGGGGGGGTCTCCACCTGAAACATTGAATGTCTTTAACTGCATTTGAGGAATACTGGAACATTTTCAATGGCGATGTTAAATTAGACAACGGCGGTGCACCACTGGGCCTCTTATGTAAAAGACCCCTTGGGTATATATAGGCTCAATTAAACAGCCATTGCTCAGCAAAAACTTGTTGTTCACATTTTGGGATTCAATTGATTCCACTATCTGCTTATTCTTTATGATAAAACTGTCTAATATTGTGACAATGTTAATTGTGACAACTTCTATATTGTTAAAAAGGCCATTTTACCCAGGAAATAAATATAATTAAACAATTTCTGGCACCTTTTCTTCATGTTTCACAGCAAGACACTACATTTAAAACCTGATCATGGCATTAGCTTATTTTGTATATATACTTCTCCATCATTTTACAATATGTAATGTTGCTGCAAGTTTACAATTTGGCTGTACAACGTCTTCACCTTAAGAACACATTAGGGCAATGTCTTTGTGTATACTACTGGCTTTATTTGGCGTGGATAGTTTTATATTTTTGTTTTTCATCATTTCAGGTTTGCTGACTCTCTACAACCATGCTGAAGTTAGATGTATCTATCCATTGATAGCGATTTGAAGCGTGAGACATCGAAGTGTGCACTGGCACAGCCCTAAAATAGTTCACGTCTTTGTGCCGTCACTGTAGTTGACCAACTACTGCTAAAACTGTTACGGTATCTGAGAAGTATGGCGTGTCCTCCCACTGTCAGCTTGCATTCCTTCTCAGAGAAGCTGCTAGACAAACACGTGCACTTCCAGATATATTGCCTTAAAGACAGCTGTCTCATCTGGATAGGCCACGATCCTGCTGTCATGAAGAATCTTTCCGTCGCCATGCCGAACCCTCGGCTTTCCGCGTGCCCTGTGGCCACGTCTCACCTGATGGGTGACTTTGATGACACGACCTCCACTGCGCTCGCCGAGCGTCTGTCGAAGAAAACCAAGCAGCAAGTGTTTGTCAGTAGTAACTTGCCGTTAGATTACATGCAGGTTCCGTTGGTAGAGCAGTGCATAATGAAGAAACTCGGCAAGATATTTTTGCAGGCGACGTCCGATTGAGAGTGTGCCGAATTTCGAAGCTAACATTGCCGGCAATAACTAAATCTAGTGCTCGTCGTTTGAGAACGGACGCGTGTCAGTATGAATTCGCCCGGAGCTGCGACGGACAGCAGTAACAGACAGAGGCATCTGTGGAGAGCTGCCGAACTTTATAGACAGTCGGGTTCGGATTTGTCTCGCTATTACCAGCGGCGGTTTGACCGGGAACTGCAGTTTAACGGGCCGGCGAGAGCCCCGGCTGGATTACTGGCCCACGTGTGCCCACATTGTGGCACGGTCTGGACAGGTGGTAACAATACTGTTAGGGCCAAGAGGCAGCCAGCTTGTGGGGCAAAAGTAGAGCGCTTGAAGAAGAAGTTGAAACGAGGAGGCCAGCTGTCCCAAAAACAGCGGAGTGTCTTAAAGGCTAGCAGTAACATGTGCATCAGCACAACGTGTAAGGCGTGCGGCAAGACAGTAAAGCAAGAAGTCAGTAGCAGCATGCCAGCAATTGCGGCCAGACAGCCAGCTATTGATTCCATATCGCTATTAGCTGCCGAACGCAACACACCGAAAATGTTGAAAAAGCACGCCACCAGGGTGCAGCACAGTTCAAGTCCTAGCGTTGTTGAACAGCCAGCTAACAACCAGACGTCAGGGAAGAGAAAGCGAAGTAAAAAGAGCCAGATGGCAATGAAAGGGTTGCAAGACAAGTTGCAAGAAAACATGCTGCAGTCACAACGAGGGTCCTTATCTGCATTTCTCTCAAGTTTGTGAAACGTGGGAGTATTTATTAGTTGTACTAGGAGGCATGACGGAAGTGTTGCTTGCAACGGGGTTTTTACCATGTTTTCTTACAGCACAGTTTCATTCATAAACAGCAGCAGTGTTCTAAAATAGATGTGGGTCGTGCTGTTGAATTCCTCAAATTGCTGAGAAGTTCATAATTTTTTTATCTACATTTTCTCAAAGCAATGCATGTATATGCATTGCATGGTTTCACTGATGATTCCATGATGTTGTGGGTTGGCAGTTTTACATTAGCATAAATTTTGTGATTCACATTTAGTTATAAACTTGAGAACATTATGTTAAGTGAATCAGGTCATATCCTTAGTTTACACAAAGAAGCAGGGCGTAGTAAAAATATCTGTGAGTCAGTAGTTAATTTAAGTTGCTTTACATTTTGGATGTAAAGCAATTAAAAAGCATGTAAGCAAAAATGTAAGCAATTTTGTAAGCAATTATGTAAGCAATTATGTAAGCAAAAATTATGCTTAAGGGAGCAGGAAAATTAATTATTATGTAAAAACTGGAATTATTTCGAGGAAAAGTTAATAGAATTGAAAGTCAAAATGTTTAAAAAAAGATATGCCACTAATAATTCAATTTCGTTTAAAGTATAGATTTCTAACTACTAGAACATTATGTGTAATTCATATGCATACTGTAGTGGAAATATTAGCATAAATTCAACATAGAAATCGTTATATTACAATTTCTAGGATGTTTATAAGGAATTTTAAATGGGCTGCATCTAATCCTAATATCATATCTATATGCACTACAATAACATAATTGTGTATGATTTCGAGATATATAACATTTTTCATAATATCATTATGCTAAAAAATTAATTCGTTGTGTTATGTCTCTGTACTTTGCACTGAAGTGGGTATAACATGATTAATAAAAACGGCATTTAAGGGTAGTTAGGAATGATTGCTAAGTTCGCACAGGGCTGCAAGTTACGCAGCTTAATAGGCAGTGTGAAACAATCTCAGAGAGTGACAGTGAGACTGTCACATTATATAGAGTGTCAATTAACTAGGCTACTAATGTTACACGATGGTTTATTTACTGAATGTCTTTGACTTCCGTCAACCCCTCATCTGTTTATTCACCTGTAGGTTATAAATAATAGTCTTTCACGTTTATTAGCGGCTATAGCTAAGAACGAATGAGCGTATATATAAATGCTTGCAGGCTCAGAGTAGGCGTGGAGTATGGGTTCTTCAACTGAATGTCAATGATAGTGGCCTCGGCAGGGACAGTCTGAGCCTCCTAGATCGTGTCAGTCGGTAGACAGCTATTATCATTCAGGTCAGGCCAAATTATGTCGTAGTGAACTACTTACCAGCCGTTAGAAGGCGCGTGTTTCCATTAAATACATTAGTAATCACAAAGCTAATCTACATCGATGTCCGTGTGAAATGCGTACGTGCGTTTGATTGCTAAGAAATAACAGCTATTTTTGAAATATTGCCGTGTTTGGTAGTCGATTGCAGACATATATGGCTTTGATGTTTACCGACCTGCCTCTTACCTGCAGGCAGGATACATACAGAGCATCCTCTGAGATTGTTTCGCAATGCCTATTAAGCTGCTTAACTTGCAGCCCTGTGCGAAGTTAGCAATCATTCTTAACTATTCCGTTCTTCATGCCAATTGCGGGGTCGCTCGCGGCGTCTCCTGTGGAAGAGTGGAGTAGCACGGACTGCGGGGAGTTGATCTCGCAACTGCAATAAAAGCTGCTACTCTAGTTGAAGAATCAATGCATTTTGTGCGCCTGGGCAACGTGGCACTTAACAATGAGCTGCCAGCGGCAATCCCGTGGAATTTTATGACTGTAAATTGTAGAGAATATTGTGATTATTTAAGTTATAGCGACTTAATTAACGTTGACGGATGGCTCAAAAATATGATTGCAAGCTTAGACTCAATGTAAAGTAATTATTTTCGTATTTATTCACCCGTGAAACTTCCAAGTAAAGTCCTCCTAAAGTATTCCAATAGGATGAAGATTTATACATTGCGTAAAACTAAAGTAAAATTTATAAAATATTGTTGCGTGCGAAATACTTCAAATAGTGACTAAATGCTATCTGCTGATCATTATCTCCTATGCCCGATTGTAATTACGAGGGAGTTTTTTCCTCAGGTAATACTTTAGCTGAAATGGGTCGAATGATATAACCTCATCGGTGATTCCTCATGGTATTCCGTAATGCAGGGGGATTCCCCGAATTACAGACATACGGTTTCACGAACATCCGTGTTTTTTTTACGAATGCGCCGCCATCTTCCTTGCGCCGCGTGATCCGCTCACTGGAACCATATACAAACACATGTTAGTCATGTTACATAATATGTATATACATAACCCTATAATATATATATATATATATATATATATATATATATGCATTTTATATGTACAATATGTATATTTGCATATATCTATGCTGGAACCAACCGGCAGCGGGCAGCTCACCTAATAGAGCTCTTAGGTGCTTTATCTGCGCTGGGAACAATCGATTAAAGAACGAACATTTTGGGACCAAACATGTTGGCAACGCGGCGACTCTTTTATTTGTTCACACCGCTACTGGTTGAATGTTAGTAAACTCACTGACTTGCTTTGCCCGGACGGTTTAAAGCCGATACGACACCAATAAATATATGCTGGTTCAACCTACATTATGTATAGTTATGTTATTTGTTATACTCTATGTTTGAGCTGGAGCAAATTAGTATTTATGTAATAAACATGTGGGCAGTGACTTGCTGTTTTGGCGAGTGCATTGTGAAAGGTATTATGAAGCAAATACAAAAAATGCGACTTTTCTGCATTCGTGCGTCATATGACACACAAGTTGAACAAATTCGATCATGCAGTTTATTGCGGCTGCAGTTGTCGTTTTTCACTTAGCTGTTGAGGTCTTGTCACATCACTCAGAAATTCTACAAGTAAGGCGGTATCACATCGCTCATATTGTACAGGTAAAGTGGTGTCACGTCACCTACCATTTACAGGGGAGGTAGTGTCACGTGACCTACCATTTACAGGGGAGGTAGTGTCACGTGACCTACCATTTACAGGGGAGGTAGTGTCATGTCACCTATCATTTACAGGGGAGGTAGTGTCTCGTCACCTATCATTTACCGATGAGGCAGTGTCACGTCACCTACCATTTACAGGTGAGGTAGTGTCACGTCACCTACCATTTACAGGTGAGGTAGTGTCACGTCATCTATTATTTACCGGTGAGGTAGTGTCACGTCACCTACCATTTACCGGTGAGGTGGAGTCACGTCACCTATCATTTACAGGTGAGGTGTGATGTCACGTCACCTACCATTTACAGGTGAGGTGGTGTCACGTCACCTATCATTTACAGGTGAGGTAGTGTCACGTCACCTACCATTTACAGGTGAGGTAGTGTCACGTGACCTACTATTTACAGGGGAGGTAGTGTCACGTGACCTACCATTTACAGGGGAGGTAGTGTCACGTGACCTACCATTTACAGGGGAGGTAGTGTCACGTCACCTATCATTTACAGGGGAGGTGGTGTCACGTCACCTACCATTTACCGATGAGGTAGTGTCACGTCACCTACCATTTACAGGTGAGGTAGTGTCACGTCACCTACCATTTACAGGTGAGGTAGTGTCACGTCATCTATTATTTACCGGTGAGGTAGTGCCACGTCACCTACCATTTACCGGGGAGGTGGAGTCACGTCACCTACCATTTACAGGTGAGGTAGTGTCACGTCACCTATCATTTACAGGTGAGGTAGTGCCACGTCACCTACCATTTACAGGTGAGGTAGTGTCACGTCACCTACCATTTACAGGGGAGGTACTGTCACGTCACCTACCATTTACAGGTGAGGTAGTGTCACGTCACCTACCATTTACAGGTGAGGTAATGTCACGTCACCTACCATTTACAGGTGAGGTAGTGTCACGTCACCTACCATTTACAGGGGAGGTAGTGTCACGTCACCTACCATTTACAGGTGAGGTAGTGTCACGTCACCTACCATTTACAGGTGAGGTGGTGTCACGTCACCTACCATTTACAGGTGAGGTAGTGTCACGTCACCTACCATTTACAGGTGAGGTGGTGTCACGTCGCCTTCCATTTACAGGTGAGGTAGTGTCACGTCACCTACCATTTACCGGTGAGGTGTGATGTCACGTCACCTACCATTTACAGGTGAGGTGGTGTC